CAGAGTCATGCCGGCTCCAGACTGTAAATTTACCAAGAGCGGTAATTAAAGCGTGATTGGAGCAGGGATGGAGGGAGCTGCCGGCTCCTGCCACAGCAGGGGGGTGATGGCAGGGGGTGGCTGGGGGGGCAGTGTCTGTCCTCCCACCCTGGGGACACAGGGACATCTCTCTTGGACCTGCCATGGTCCTACCACCCCTCAGCCCATGCTTTCCCCCATCCCGCCCGGCTCTGACCCCCCCCTCAAGGCTCTGACACCCCCCCCCCAAAAAAAACCTCCTGCTCAGGCTCAGTTACAGCCCTTTGAAGCCTCTTTCTGCCCCAGCCCTAATTGCATTCCTTTCTGCTGACTCGGTGTAACCCAACCCGGCCCCGCTTTCGGGGAGGGGGGCGGTGGGAGACCCTCCTGCTGCCGGGCCCTCCGAGGCACCGGGGTTTGGGGGGGGGAAGCCAAACCCCCCCACATCATCTAGAGCGTGGGGAATCGGATGGCGGCGAGGTGGGGAGGGCTGGTGGGTTCCCCGTGCTCTGTGGTGGGGGGGTCTCTGGAGGAGAGAGAGCCCCCACAGAGCCCCTCATCTCCCCCCACCCCTGCTCTGGTGAGGAGGCAGCTGTATGGCTCTTGGGGAGGGGGGGAGGAATGGAGCAGCCGGCTGCCGCGCTGCTTTCCTGGCAGGGGGGGCAAAATCAAAACCAAATGTTCCCAACCAGCCGCTGGCTCAGCCCCCGGCAGCCCTGGGAGGCAGCAGGAGTGGGGCGACCACAGGAGCCTGGGGCTTGGCCACCAGGGATGGGGTTGGTGGCCGTGCAGCCCCCCTCTGCCCCCACCCTGTGCTGCCCCAAATACCCTGGGGGGCAAAGCGCCAGGGTGGGGGGTGGGTGCGTGTCCATCCAGAGCCAGAGGATGCCTGGAGGAGAGGGGGATGCTGTGAACAGGAGAGTTTGGGTGTGGGAGATAAGATTACAGCCAACAAAGCAAAGCCTTCAAAGCCTCATCCCTTCGGGAGGGAGGGGTGAGAGACCGATAGGCAAAGCTGAGGCTGCTCCCCGGGGAGCACAGGAGGTAGATGTCTGGGTGGAGATGCAGATGGGGCCATGGGAAGCCACCAGGTAGCTGAGTCTGCCTCAACTCGGGGAAGGCATCTCCATTTCTGAGGCCGACAGCTGGTCTGTGAAGGTAGATCATAGAATGGGTTGGGTTGGAAGGGACCTTGAAGATCACCCAGTCCCAACCCCCTGCCCTGGGCAGGGACACCTCCCACCAGCCCAGGTTGCTCCAAGCCCCATCCAGCCTGGCCTTGAACCCCTCCAGGGATGGGGCAGCCACAGCTTCTCTGGGCAACCTGTTCCAGATGGTCCCTCCCCAGGTGGGTGGCAGCTGGTGGGACCTGCTGGTGGCTTCTCAGTGCAGAAAGGCCACCAAGGCTGCAGTCCTTGAAACCCTCCCAGCAACCGTGCTCCAAATCCCAGCAGCCAGGAGGCAACCTCCCGTGGAGATGCATGGGGTGAGCACCTTGCCAGCCCCACGAGCAGGCTCTTGTCTCCAGGAAGAGGCAGATTTGGGCAGAAAGGTTGCACACACACGCTTTGTGTCCTTTCCAGGACTGGCTGCACGGTTGGATTTGATCCCGTAGCACCCCCGCAGCAGGGGAGGGACACGGGTGCTTTCTGCTCCAAAAAACTCATCATCCAGCTCTGTTAGACCCCAGTCTGGGCTGATCTGACTGGTTACAGACCCCCTGCCCCACTGGTGGTACTGGGGCCCATCGTGGCTGTACGCAGGGGGGGGAGCGGGGCCGAGCATCCATCGCATCCCGGATCCTTCCCCGAAACCCGCTTGGCTTTGGCTCCAGGCTACAGCTTGTGCCTCGCATCCATCCCAGAAAGTATTTTTAGGCAGAAATCCACCAAGCTGAAGAGCTCTGGAGAGGGTTTGGCCCCACTAGCCCTGACTAAGCAGGTTTGCTTGGGCTCCGTGCCTGTGGGTGGATGTGCACGTGGCCTGGGGCGGGGGTGGGGGGGGTGATGGTGGCCCCAAGGACTGTGGCTGGTGGCCCCCAGGCTGTCTGCATCCCCCTCCAAGGCTGGTGCCCAGGATGGGAATGGCCATCGGCTGCCAGGTCATGGCCACAGCGATGTCCCTTTGGTGCAGGGATGGGTCACCCCAGTTGGCAGAGCCAGGGGTTGGGCTGGTGCCAATGTTTTTTTGGGAGGCAGGGAAGGGCTTGGCTGCCCCAGGGATTTCCTGAGCCTCCTCTCCCTGCGAGCCTCGCCGCCCCAATGGCCCGTGACAATTTATGGATGAAAAACGGTGCCACGGTCCTTAAACACGCCGGGAGCTGGGGATTCATAGGTGGTGTGGCAGCCTCGGCTAACGGATTGAATCACCTGGCTGTCACCTCCGGGGAAAAAAACTACAGCCCTTTTCCTTATGAAATATCTAAGTTGGTTTTTTTGCTTGATGGTGATGGAGATGGAGAGCCCTGAGCTCTGGCTCCTGGCTGCCTCGGCTCGGTCCAGCCCTTGTTTATGGCCATAACACTTGAGTATCCAAATGAAAACCTGGCTTTGAACCCAAAACGCCAGAGAGGGAGAGATTTGGGAGTCACCAAAGCCCACCCAGGGAAGTGGGAGCCCCTCTCCGTTGGGTTACCTGGGCTGCCTCCACACCCAGAACCAGAACCCAAAATGCCAGAGAGGGAGAGATTCGGGAGTCACCAAAGCTCACCCAGGGAAGTGGGAGCCCCTCTCCGTTGGGTTACCTGGGCTGCCTCCACACCCAGAACCACTGGAGGTGGGTTGAGGTCCTCCCTGGCGTCCCCCACCCCCATCTACCTCTGCCTTGCAGGGATGGACCTCTCAGCCAACCAAGACGAGGAGGGTGACCAGGAGACCTACCAGCTGGAGATCAACAAGGACACCAAGAAATGCGGGGTCCCCCCCAGCGCCCCCCACCTCCATCTACCTCTGCCTTGCAGGGATGGACCTCTCAGCCAACCAAGACGAGGAGGGTGACCAGGAGACCTACCAGCTGGAGATCAACAAGGACACCAAGAAATGCGCCTTCAGGACGTACACTGGGAAGTACTGGACCCTCACCTCCAATGGGGGCATCCAGTCCACCGCCTCCACAAAGTTAGTGTCGTGTCCCTCCCCTCCACCCCTGGTGGCTTGGGGCCGTGCCTGGGCTTTGAGGGTCCCTCTGCGTCTCCCAGGAGAATCCAGAGGGGATTTTCCAGCTGAGGCGCTCGCCCTGAACCGCTTCCTGGTGAATTTCCCGGAGCGGGGGCTGTGTCAGGACTTGCTGCCTGTGGAGCTCGGGAAGTCCCCGGGGCTGTGTAACCCCTCCCGGCCAGCTGGGGCTGGGGAGATGCTTTTCCCTCCAGTTCAGCCCGACGTTTGCTGAGGAGCCGGCCAAAAACCCCAAAAGTGCCTTTGGCCTCCTGCCCGTGGGGCGAGGACTTCCCATCGGGACGGCCACCGCGACGTGGCTCATCCCACAAAAATGGATCAAATCAGGGTTTCCTGCTCCAGCCTAACCCTTTCCGAGCCGGGGCGGGGGAGGTGGTGGAACTGGGGGGGATCCCCATCCATCTCATCCTGCTGACCCTCCTCCTCTGTTCCCCCGCAGGAACGCGAGCTGCTATTTCGACATCGAGTGGTGCGACAAGCGCATCACCCTGAAAGCTGCCAACGGCAAGTACGTGACGGCCAAGAAGAACGGGCAGCTGGCGGCCTCCATGGAGACAGCGGGTAAGGAACCCCCCCTCCTAGGGACCCCCACCCCGCACTGGAGTGGTCCTCATCCAGGCTCCTTCTCCAAGTGATGCTCAGGGAGGCGGGCAATAAGTTTTCTTAATGACCTGTGAGATAGGGGGGGTGAACAACAGGTGGGGGGCACAGCTCACCCTCCTCACTGCTGCCTGCCAACCGCGGGGGGCTCTGTGTGTGTCCCCCCCCCCGGGGCTGCTCTCACGGCCCCCTCTCCCCAGGTGAGACGGAGCATTTTGTGATGAAGCTGATCAACAGACCCATCATCGTCCTCCGTGGTGAGCACGGCTTCATCGGGTGCCGGAAGGTGACCGGCACCCTGGACTCCAACCGCTCCTCCTACGACGTCTTCCAGCTGGAGTTCAACGACGGAGCCTACAACATCAAGGGTGAGTCCCCGGGGGTGGGTAAGGGCTTGGGGGGGGTGATGGCCGTGGGGGTCCCCGCGGTGGCTCACCGGGCCGCCTTGTCCCCTCCTCCATCTACCTGCAGATGCCACCGGGAAGTACTGGATGGTGGGGAACGAGTCGTCCGTCACCAGCAGCAGCGACACCCCCGTGGACTTCTTTTTTGAGTTCTGCGACTATAACAAAGTGGCGATCAAAATCAATGGCAAATACCTGAAGGGTGACCACGCCGGGGTCCTCAAGGCCTCTGCCGACACCATCGACGCCTCCACTCTCTGGGAATATTAATGCACTTTAGCGTACCTCCTGTTCCTCCCGTTCCTCCCGTTGCCAACTTTTTCTTTCCCTTCCTCCGTCCTTTATTTT